ATAATTTAAATTAGAAGTTTAGGGGTTTAAATAGATTTAGGAGTTAGATATATGAAATTAGATAGTTTTTGTTAATTGATTAAAATTTAAAAAAATTCTTAATACAAATATACTCCGTAATAATTTAGAAAGTCAGTTCAATTCTTAATTATACTAATTTAATGTTAATTAATAGATTTAATTATACTAATTTAACGGTAGTGCATATTGTTAATCACTAATAATGTATCTAATCATTAAAATGTGTAGGAAAGTAGATATATAATAATTAAGTAATAAATAAGTTTAGGAAAGTAGATATATTTTGTTAACTATAAATAAAAGAGTTTCTTAATAAAATACAAGTATTAGATATTTTGTAAAAAATGATCCGATTAATCTTTGCTCGAAGCTTGAACCCACAACCTCTCATGTGAAAGTTCAACTTGGTACAATTGGACCACAAGGTCCTTAGTCAGTGTAGTTCTTAAATATATAAATGGTATACACTAATACATACTTATAAACTTAACACTATAAAAATTAAATTAAAAATAATTTTAGTCAAATCCTATTAATCAAACTAGACATATAAAATGAGACTGAGAGAGTAATTTTTATAAGTTAATAAGTATTATATTTTTACTACATATTTTTTAAGAAATAAGTAATACTTTTCAGTAAAAATATAATATTTATTTACTCTTTAAAAAATTATATTTTTATTAAATAGCAATTCAATACATATCTGAAAACAACTTTTTGTGTTATTTCAAATGCTTAAAATTTTGTTGAAGATGAAACATTTGCTAATCATGGAAACTGGCCTAATAAAAATGTAAGACTCTGCTTTTTCAAACAAGTGGTTGAATCACTAATTTAATATGATACATGCATGTATGGCGTACTGGTATTGTTTAAACAACAAACAATAAAATAAGAAAAATAAATTTTACAAGCAATAAGGTATACGAGAAATATATAAAATATAAATTAAAGTAGTGTTCACTTAGAATTGGTGCGTTTTTTAGATTTATTTTTGTCCTGTAAATGATTGTGCAACTAACATAGTAACATAGCCTTCATCATTGTCAAATTCATGTGATATAAAAAATTGAAGTTGGAGAATTGAAAAAATTAATATAACATCTAATAAATTCATTAAACATACCTGCTGACAATGTCGTTAGTAAAAATTTCTTAAAGTTATTAGTTTTTTTTTTTTTAAAGCAAGTTATTAGTTAGATTTATACCATATACACAAACTCTATTTGATAAATAATAAAAGAGAACTAAAAATTTAAAATAAGTTCTTATCAAAATTTATTTTCAAACACTATTAAAAATAGCATCTACCAAATAAGTTAGGGGCTTATAATTTATTGTCTTTTATTTTTATCTACATTAATTATAAAAATTCATTATCCATCTTTAATTTAAACTCAAATTCCGTATTTTTTTTTTTTGAAATACTTATGATGCTTTACGAGCCATAGTATATGTTCTATTCATCATATCATTTGTTATTTGCCAAATACAAAAACGAATTGCATCAAAAGTTCAAAACCTGTAAGTTTTCACTACTCTTACTCTAAATATTTAGTAAGGGATGTAAATCGTAAAATATATCTCTAATGTAATTACTAAATAAGAAAATCATTACAAATCATCGAACAAGCCAGTATATATGCCACCATCGAGGAGTGAGGAAAGCTTTTACAATACTTTCTGCTAAGTGGTACCAATTGTTTATTATTTTATTATTTGTTTTGTTCCCACCTATGTTTCATGAGAAGAATTATTTGAGTAAAACACACACACGATTGGAAGTAGACTAATTTGATGTATTGATGGGTTTTTCTTGGCATTCACTGCTATACAAACGGCCTATATATGAATTCATGATTATAGCCCGCATGAGTAGCTCAATTGGTCATAGACGTAAAACTTTGGAAAAATGAACAGGGATAAGTGAGGGGGGTTCCTTGTGCGCAGTGAGCACCGGTCTAGCCTCTGTGGTTCATGTTCAGTTGAGTCACCATGATTTACATGATTTACATCTTCCCAAATGCCTCTGTGGTTCATGTTCAGCATCTTCCCAAATGCTCTGTCGGGCAGGGATGTGGGGGGCGTTGGGGTCTGTGGTTTTGGAAGAATGAATTCATGATTATAGAATCTATAATTAATTTTAAAACTCATCAGTTTTCTCCCAAATCACTTTTCTCTCCTAATAATTATGACGTAATTAATTGACCTTATTAATTGAATGCAGGGTCTTGATTTATTGTTTTGTTAGTGATAGGGAATATACCTCGGTTTCGATTTTCCTATACGTCCATATTTTCGTTTTATAGTCGGGTCGGTATCAAACGGTTCGAGTCTCAGCCCATGGGTCACAGTCAAAACCTTCAATGCTTGGACCTATATAAAGGGCTTCAACCCTTTATCTTAGGAGTTCCTCTCCCTTTCCATGTCTGTCTCTCTAAAAACACTCTCTAGATGCTCTCCCCTTCTAGGATTATTCAAGAACAACAATTAATAAAAGAGTCTTATTTAAACTGCTACTCTAGGAATTAGTTTTTACATATATATAGTATAAACTCCACATGCATCAAGTAATTAACCGTATCAATTAAGATTGTGTCTCATTTTCTTTTATTTATGAAATTGTTAAGTTTATTAGTCCAAGGGCATATTAGTCGTGCATCTATCCTACTGATCCTCCGTGTCGGCTGCTTGCTTCTCTTTGACCCAAGTTTTATGTCCAAAGCGGTTTTACATGCACAAACGTTAAACACACAACACAAATAACAACACTATCACCAAAGCCACATGCATAGGACGAATGGCCCGTTGCACTACTTCTCGTCTTCTCCCAGAACACACCCAACAAGAGATTGCAATTCACTTTGTTGCAATGCACAACCCTAGATAAAGCAATGCACCGCTAGCCTAGAGCTTGAAAAGCAATGAATGTAGCCCAAGAGAAAACTTAAATATTGTGGTTGGCACTTGGGCTTGTAGGTTGGGCAGGTAGCCCAAGAGAAAAAAAAAAAAGTGGCTGAGTTTGAAGCCTGGGTAGATAGCTTACAATCGTTATGTGTTGGACCCGTGACCAACATGCATGCTGGACACGGGTAACAGTGCCGTTAGGCACTGTTATCTTTATCTTTTTTTTTTTTTAATAATTTCAGACCGCTTCGTTATAGGAGTATATGTTCATAATTTTATTACTATATGTTAATAACTGTACATTCATAACTCCATAACTGTACGTTCATAACTCTATAACTGTACATTCATAACTCCATAAATGTACATTCATAACTCCCTAACTGTACATTCATAATTTTCGAAGCTCTATTTCACAATTTTAGAGCTCTATGTTCATAATTTTATCACTATATGTTCATAATTGTAAGTTCATAATGTCAGAGCTCTTTGTTCATAATTCGATCAATAACTGTACATTCATAATTCCATAACTGTAGATTCATAATTTCATAACTGTAGATTCATAACTCCATAACTGTAGATTCATAACTCTATAACTGTACATTCATAACTCCATAACTGTACATTCATAATCTTCGAAGCTCTATATTCACAATTTAAAGCTCCATGGTCATAATTTTATCACTATATGTTCATAATTGTAATTTTAAAGCTCTGTGTTCATAATTTCATAATTACATAACTGTACATTCATAACGGCATAACTGTACATTCATAATCCAAAAAAAAAAAAAAAAAACCACTAACGCCGTTAACAGCAAAACACGCGCGATTTTTTTTTTTTTTTTAAACTAAATGACGCGTTTTTTTTTTTTTTTTTTTTTTTTTTTTTTTTTTTTTTGAAAAATGACGTCGTTTTGGGCCCGTGTCCACAATTCATTGTGGACACGGGTCCAGGGCATAATTTGCCGATAGCTTAATATTGTAAACTCTCATTTGTAATTGACAATATTATTATTGCAAACTAGATATGTTAGATATAGTGTCAATTAATGTACTAATTGAAGATCTGGCATAACAAATAATACTACACTATAGCCTTTAGGAAACTAGCCGTTAGCCTTTAGGAAACTAGCCGTTGGAACTACATCGACTTATCTAGTACAACTGGCATAATAGTTATGCGGTCTGAGGTTATTTTATAAGAATGTCCACCTCTGACTAAAAGACCTCAAGAGTAAGACACTAATTCGTACTACATGAAATATCTTAAGAATTACTTGTCTTTCAAGGATCAGAGTTGACGAGATACAGTTTGCAAGATATATTCTACAAAGAGAATACTCTGAGATATCATGTTCTCAATACCGATGATCTGAGTTAGAAAACATTGGGCTTGTTTGGTTATTGGCGGATCCGCCAAAATTTTGACGAACCCGTCATTTTCAGCGTTTTGACCACGTCAAAACGCTGAAAATCTTGTTGGGTAAATGACGATTTGGAGCAACGAATTTGTTTCAAATTGCCAAAATCTGAAACGCTGCTATTTGCAGCGTTTCATATTAGCGTTTTCGGCTTTTTTTTTTTCCAAAACACCTTTATTTTTTTTTAAACATTTGTTTAATTACACAATAAAGAAGTCGGGGACTTCTTTTTTTCTGCCCATCCGATGTGGGAAGCAATAGCTCCCCATTTTAAAGAGGAGCTCAACGCCCCCATTTACTTTAAATTTCTATGTAAAGATCCCACATCAATAATTTTATTATAATTTGTATACCCTTTTAATCGTGCTAATTAATATTTTTTTTTTGAATGCTACTGAGGCTTGAACTTACAACCTTCCAAATGAAAGTCCAACCCGGATACCATTAGACCACATAGTTCTGGTGCGTTAATTAATATAATTTACTTGTTAAACTCTCTAATACAATCCCGCTATCGCTAACCGCTGATACCAATCAAGTCCTTTGAGAAGACATTCTACCACGCTTTATCTATCATGAATATCTCTTATCATAATTATAAATCGGAATTGCGAATGTCAGCAGCACCTGTCAAAGTGACAAAAACTCTTCTCTATCATGAACCCCTTGGCCTCAATCGCCCAAACAACAAACTCGATACGGCAAGCAAAGTGACACAAAAGCGTTGTATGTGTGTCAGTCCAATACTCGCAGCGGCCCCACTTTCTCCCAAGTCTTCTTGTTTCTATCTCGGTCATCCTTATCTATTCTGCATAATCAAAATCACTAAATCAGTAGAGACTAGAGAGAGGATTCTAATAAGCTCTGTTTCAGAGCAATGGCGGAGATAGGGAAGACAGTGCTGGATAAAGGGTGGTTAGCGGCTCGATCCACTGAGGTTGCCCTCACTGGAGTGCAGCTCACCACCAGCGACCCACCCTCCATTGCCGATCCCACCTCCCCTTGGATGGAAGCCGCCGTTCCCGGAACGTAATCTTACTTCCCTAACTTCATTTCTCTTAATCATCATCTCAATCCAAGGAGAAAAAGAGTGAGGAGTGGTTAATTTGGGTTGTGCATTTTCGGGTAGGACTATCTAATTATCCGCAATTTGGGGAAATCGTTTCAAAAATTGTGTAAAAATAAAAGTAGAAAAGTAACATTCTTTTTGAAAAACAGAATTCAAATTATATGAGCTTAACAAGTCTGCATAATCATCTAAACCGTCCTTAAAACTGGTCAAAAAGAAGTTGGTAGTAGATCATTAGCTGGATGAAATTTAACACAGAATGTTAAAATGTTTTATTCAAGTATCATTCATAAATATATTATATGTTTGGCATTATTGAATATTATATTTTTTAAGTAATCAATTTTTTTTTAATTTTTTTTTTTATTACGCTGTAAAGCTTTTGACTGACCAAAAGAAACAAATTGAACCTGTATAATTAATACATAGTTCAAGCAATCCTTATACCATGGATCATGGTTCACAGTGCACTATGGACTTGGGTTCACGTGTATGTGTTTTGTGTTGTGACATTTTATGAAATTCTATACTTTAAGAGTATGAATTCTGTACTTGAAACAAATTAGTAATTGTGTCTTATGTTATAAATTTATGTGTTTTATGTTGTGAAATTCTGTACCTGTGAACATAAGTTATGTACCTAAATCAGATTTGAAAAATAAGTAAATATATAACATATGTATGTGTCTTGTGTTATGAAAATTTGTACCTTATAAGTATGAATTATGTACCTCGTCTTTCAATCCAGCTGGGTCCATAATGCTATGCTATGTGTCTTGTATTGTAATTTTTTGTATTTGTTGTAATTTTTGTATTTTGTGTTATGAAATTCTGTACCTTAGAAGTATGAATTTTGTACTTCGTTGTTTCAATTCATGATTCATAATACTATGTGGACCCTGGTCCATTATATAAATTGCCTAGTTCAAGAAGTGTTGGCCTGCCAGTTTGCTCGTAGTTAATTTGGGCAGGTTGAAGGATTACGCAATTTTTCTCCAATCCATTTTGACCTACCCAAAACCTTCCAAACCACCATTTGCCACCCGTGAATATGATGGTCTGTTTGGTAGAACTTTTTTAGAGTGCTTATTTTAAGTTACAAAGAGCTTATTTTAGAGATTATAGTTTATTTTAAGTTATAAATAAGTTAGCTTTGTTTGGTAAAAAACTTATTTTGAAAGGTTAGCGTTTCAAAATAAGCTAATTGTTACTAGCTTTCAACTTTAAGCTAACTTTTAAGCTAGTTTTGCCAAACAGATGAGTATATTTTTAACTTGTAGCCCTAAAGCAATTATTGATGGTTTTTTACTTCTTTAAAGGCTCTGCATTTCATGAAAAAGGTTGATTAATGTATGATCTAAATAATTGGGTCCTGTGAAATGGGTATAAAGAAGTTTAAATTTGAAATATGATAATACATTGTTTCTTATGTTTATGTTCCAGAGTTGTAAGGAGTTGCAAACATTAAATGAAAACTCATCATTGTTCTTACCTTGCTTTATGTAATTCCTACGTGAAACAGATCAAATATAACTTCTACTTTCAAGTAGATGCAATTTAAAATTAATTAGTTGAATAAGCTCTAATGTGATATAAAGTATTCATAGGGAATGTGGAAGTATGATATTTATAGGATCTGCAAAGTAAAAACGATAAAACTTACAGAAGTAACAGGTGTACTTCTGTACTTGAAGACGATAGCTTGTTTTAGATGATTTTGTCTAAAGATTGTACTTGAAGTATGCTTTAGAATTTTCTTTCCCTGTCATTTTGACTCTGTGAATCAATTTACAGTGTTCTGGGAACTCTTTTAAAGAACAAACTAATACCGGATCCTTTCTATGGGCTACAAAACGAGGCCATCTTGGATATTGCTGATTCAGGAAGGGAATACTACACTTTTTGGTTCTTCACAAGCTTTGAATGCAAGCTGGTATGTTATAAAAGCATCCCTTTGACTCAGCCACCTTCTCCGCTTGTGCAAAATTTTGTTTTTCTTTGCTGAAAAGTTATTTAATTATTATTCTGATTAACCATATAAAAAAGTTTTGCCTTTGAATAAAAAAATGCAGTAGGTTTCTGCCATAATTCTGTGTTCTATTTATGTTCAAGCAATATGGATGAATGGTTGCTTAAATTTGTTTCAGTCAAATAACCAACATGCGGATCTAAATTTCCGGGCTATAAATTATTCTGCTGAGGTATATTTGAATGGACACAAAGAGGTCCTGCCGAAGGGAATGTTTCGAAGACATTCAATTGATATTACTGATATTCTGAATCCAGATGGTCAAAATCTGCTTGCAGTGATTGTTTACCCTCCTGATCATCCTGGAAGGATTCCTCCTGCAGGTGGTCAAGGTGGTGATCATGAGGTATATACCACTTTCATTGAAGACTGACAATTATTCTCCATTGCTTTTTCCATTTATCATTTGAGAGATATGCTGAATTGCTGAAACAAGTCCCTTGAGAAGAACTTCTAAAAGGTTTGAAGAAAATTATAGAAGTGAGGTGCATCTACCTTAAGTAAAAGTGATAAATTTCATAATGTTATAATGGAAATATATTCCAACATTATTTCAACCCATGGAACTTTACATTATAATATTATATTTGTTATTCTATAGCACTAACTAATAAGATCAAGTATAGATATATTTGCATGGAACATTTTCTAAGTTATTGTCATTAATACCAACTCCTCAGTGCATAAATCTCTGAAGAGTTCACATATTAGTCATGGTACATACATGGTGTGCTTGTTAGACATTGAGCGATTGACTATACTGACTGCACTACTAATTGCCTGTTTACCTTCCATCTTTCTTACACCAAATGGCAAAATCAATATATGTGGATTATATTCTATGCTTCAAATCCTTATATTCTCTAATCAACTGAACCAAACCTTTATCTCGGTCCTATATAATGGATGAGGGGTAAGGTAGGTTGACAGTTGACTCTCCAGTGTGAATTGTCATATCTCTAAATTATTTTCTTATCACTTATCCAAAATATCCTAATATTACCTCTCTTCATTAAGATTGCGAAAGATGTTGCTGCACAATATGTTGAAGGATGGGATTGGATGACTCCAATCAGGTGAACAAGTGTTCTGTTACTGACATTTGCAATTCATACTGATTATTCTCTCTCTCTTTTATGTGTGTGTGTTTGAACTTTTCCATGGTTAGATGATCTGACTTTATTGGAATAGTCCTTTCAAATAGATAAATTCCCTAAGGCAACAGGAGAACACCCATAGACTTTGGTTCTATGCCATTTAACACCTGGTTGCTTATTCTCTTTTGCTTTTTTTCATTGGACCAATTCTTTATGTTTCTATAGGGATAGGAATACTGGAATCTGGGATGAGGTGTCCATTACAGTAACAGGGGTGAGTTTTAAAGTTTATTTCCTCATCATTTTTATTTTTTATTTTTTGTGGGGTGGATTTTGTTTAATTTTCTAGACGATTAATATTAGACCATCAAAATACAGCCCAAAGTATCCAAGGTCTTTTGAGATTTCTAAGATGATGATTTAGTTATTGTTTGTACAGCCAGTGAAGATTGTGGATCCTCACTTGGTATCTTCATTCTTTGATGATTACAAAAGGGTATATCTGCATACCACAACTGAGTTGGTTAATAAAAGTGCCTGGGAAGCTGAGTGTTCTTTAAACATCCAAGTGTCAACTGAACTTGAAGGAAATATGTGCTTGGTTGAGCATCTTGAGACACAGAAAGTGTCTCTTTCTCCTGGAGCACATGTTCAATATACATTTCCTCAGGTTAGTAGTGTTACTTTGTTGCAAGGCTAAGGACATCATATCTTGTATGGATGTTTTTCTTCAATACTACTTTTTCAAGAAGTTTATGTGCTTTCTCCTTTTCTATTGCATTGTTGAAGTTGATTTATAGAGTCAGGCCGGGAAGCTAAATAGGTAGCCTGGCAATGCTCGGAAAAGCATCCCTGTACTTAACATCTTTTGCATTGTAGTTCTTCAAAAGGAACGGTGAATGTTTCCTTTGGCATTGGCACCTGACTATTCAAGTTGTTTATATCTCTCCTTCCACAGCTATTTTTCTACAAACCAAGTTTGTGGTGGCCTAATGGCATGGGGAAGCAATCTCTGTACAATGTTGAAATAACTGTTGATGTGAAAGGTTATGGAGAGTCTGACATGTGGAGCCACCATTTTGGCTTTCGCAAAATTGTGAGTACTATCGATAGTTCTACAGGTGGAAGGTAAATGCTTGCCTCTTTTTCTTCTTTTCCTATAGTTAATAGATTATTAAATAGTATAATGCTTTATTGTGTTTCCATGTTAATCTAGAATTAAAATTTGTTTTCTCATACTCTGCAGACTGTTTAAGGTCAATGGGCAGCCTATATTTATTCGTGGTGGTAATTGGATTCTCTCAGATGGGTTATTACGGCTTTCAAAGGAAAGATACAAGACAGATATCAAATTTCATGCTGATATGAACTTCAATATGATGCGTTGCTGGGGTGGAGGGTTGGCCGAAAGACCAGATTTTTATTACTACTGTGATTTATATGGCTTGCTGGTAACCCCAACTCCCTTATTCTTCCCCATTGCTTAGTGTGTACATGACCCATATATATTTTGAATATGAGCTAATTTAAGATACATAGGCCAAACCACACTAAAAGACTGAATCTAATCCATTAGCTAGTCTAACCCATAGCCTTATAAACCCATATGTCTCTTTTTTTTTTTTTTTTTTTTTTTTTCTTTTTTTCTTTTTTATCAATGTGGTACTCTTAACAATAGACAAATTGCTGCAGGTTTGGCAAGAGTTCTGGATTACTGGAGACTGTGATGGACGAGGTGACCCTGTGTCAAATCCAGATGGTCCATTGGACCATGAACTGTTCTTGTTTTGTGCAAGGGACACTGTCAAGCTGTTGAGGAATCATCCCAGTCTCGCTTTGTGGGTTGGGGGAAATGAACAAGTTCCACCTTCTGATATTAATGAAGCTTTGAAGAATGACCTACAACTGCACCCATATTTCGAGAATTCCAATGGTGGTGAGACATCAAAAGAACATACGCCGGTGACGAAGGAGCCAAGCGAATATCTTGACGGTACTCGTGTTTACGTGCAAGGATCTATGTGGGATGGATTTGCAGACGGGAAAGGAAACTTTACTGATGGTCCTTATGAAATCCAGAATCCCGAGGACTTCTTCAAAGATGACTATTATGAATATGGGTTCAATCCCGAGGTTGGTTCTGTAGGGATGCCAGTGGCAGCTACTATCAGAGCAACAATGCCTCCGGAGGGGTGGCAGATTCCTTTGTTCAGAAAACTATCAGATGGCTATGTAGAGGAAGTCCCCAACCCAATATGGGAGTACCACAAATACATTCCATATTCTAAACCAGAAAAGAAGGTCCATGACCAGGTTTTACTATATGGGACATCAAATGATCTCGATGACTTTTGTCTCAAGGTAAATAAAAAATCTTGCAAAACTACACATATCTTTTACATCCCCAATGTGGACAAAATATACACACTCACACATATAACTATTTCAGGCACAATTAGTCAACTATGTTCAATACAGAGCTCTGCTAGAAGGTTGGACCTCCCGAATGTGGACAAAGTATACAGGTGTTTTGATATGGAAAACTCAAAATCCATGGACAGGCCTAAGAGGCCAGTTCTATGATCATCTTCATGATCAAACAGCAGGATTCTATGGCTGCCGCTGTGCTGCAGAACCTGTTCATGTTCAGCTAAATCTAGACACATACTTTATAGAGGTCAGCATTTGCTAAAGCTTGATGATAGTTGAGTTCAGAGTATCTTTTCTTATGAAATTTATCAGGATTATCTTGTATCTAACTTTAATCTCAAGCACTGTTGTAAAAGTCAGCCTAGGCACCCCTAGGCCAACGAGATTTTACCCTTAGGCCGACATTAGTCGGCCAACTCGGCTAACTTGGCCAAGTGTTTTTTTTGGTGTGCAATGTGTATACTGTTGTGTTTTTCTTATTATTATAACTCGCCCGCCTAGATGCTCTAGGCGCCCCCTCGGGGCCCGACTAGAGCCTAGCGCTTTCTACAACATTGATCTCAAGTATGGTTTGGGGACTGTTGTGTATTTATTACCTGAAACAAATCCTTCAAGAACTTGCTTAAGTTTTTTATTATGGGGGCCTGGAACCAATTTGCTAGTGTATAATGTAATATTTTTAATCATGCCATCTTGAACTTCCAGATGTTGATTCGTATTTTCCTCACTGTCTACAGGTGGTAAATACTACCTCTGAACAACTTTCTGAAGTTGCAATTGAAGTCTCCGTTTGGGATCTGGATGGAGAATGTCCATACTACAAAGTCTCCGAAAAGCTTACAGTGCCACCCAAAAAAACGATGCCAGTTTTCGAGATGGAGTACCCAAAGCAGGAGAATGCCAAGCCAGTTTACTTTCTTCTTCTCAAGTTCTACAACGTGTCAGATAATGGCATATTGTCACGGAACTTTTACTGGCTGCACCTCTCTGGTGGTGATTATAAGCTTTTGGAACCTTACAGGGCGAAGAAAATACCAATCAAAATAACTTCTCTGACTTTCATTAACGGGTCTAGGTATGAAATGCGGTTGCACGTTCAGAACACATCGAAGAAGCCGGATTCCAGAACTACACTCCATGAAAACAATTTCGTTACAATAAATGGCGGCTGTGATTCAGAACCAGCTGATTATCTCACCGGGGGGAGAAATGAAATCAGTTCATTTAAGAAGCTGTGGAGGAGCATTATCGGAGACCACAGCAATGTGAAGGTTTCTGAAATTAACGGAACTGAAGCAGGGGTTGCTTTCTTCCTTTATTTCTCGGTTAATGCTGCAAAGAAGAGCGTCAAGGAAGAGGAGGACACACGCATTCTTCCTGTTCATTACTCGGATAACTATTTCTCACTAGTACCGGGCGAATCAATGAAGATAACGCTCTCGTTTGAAGTACCTCCAGGCGTAACCCCACGAGTCACGCTCCATGGCTGGAACAACCAGGCCTTGCAGATAGTTCATTGAATCCAAAATCACACCCTATCCACTGCCCAGGTAAATAAAGTTTACTTGTTATATTCAGAAATAAGAATGCATGTTAAGGCCACATATGTATGTATACTATATGTCTAACTAGGATCTAGTCATAAGTCTTATGTCGTTTGATTGATCGAACTAAGCCCGAATCACCCCAAATACTATTGTGATTATGTTGTATGTTAGATTGTTAGTAAAACTTGATGATATTGATGTCAAAGTTTAGATGAGTATGTGTAGTGTTGTTTTGGATTCATTTGTGTAGTCTATATTAATATTAGTATCTTTCCTTTTGCACTATTCTCCTTATATGGCAGGGAAAAAAGTAGGACAAAATTGTTGAAGAAAATATATGAATTGAAAAGAAACTGTCAAACATAACAAAATCCTAATAGTGATCTGTACAGAACTATAGAGTTTCAAGAAAAAAACAATTTCAAATTATCAAATATTTTAGCATTATTATGTCTTGGAATTTTGGTGATATATTATGAAGAAACCATGTTGCGATGATTTTGTAAGCGTTTTGGTGATGAGAGAAACTTGCAGTCATTATCCGAGCCTGCAGTTATTACTCGATGGTATGTATTGATAAACTTTGTCTTGTTACTCTAGACAGCAAAGGACTACAAGGAGATAAATCAGTTTAGGTTGTCCATAACTGACCGGTTCAAACTAAGAGGGTTGAGATTCGAACTTGTATCCTTAGACCTTAATCATCTTGGTTAGGATTGTCCGTAAGCGTTTTGAATCATATGAATGCCATCCCAACCAATCCTTTTGCTTGGATCTGGAGTAGTGTTGTAAAAATTGGTCTCGACGCCCCTAGGCTGATGTGATTTCATCCCTAGGTGACTTTTAGTCAGGCGGTCAAGTTGGTGCTCTACTCGACTAAGTGGTTTTTTTTTGTTTGCTCGGCAACTCATCTATATTTCTCTAGTCATGAACTTAATTAAACGTCCAACATATGCAATTGACTAATTTGGGAATGATAACAGTCTAACAATTCTCAATCCTGAGTGAGAAAAATAAAGACGATATTCGGATTACTCAACTGCCTAAGTGGCGTCTAAGCGTTCTAGACACTAGTCGTCTCCCGAGCGCTCGACTAGCGCCTAGTGCCTTTTGCAACATTGATCTGGACACACTGCAACTTCTGAAAATCCACACATTTTGTCATGCTAAAATCATAATCTCCTCCGACTCCACAACAAGACTTCTGTATTGAACTCTCATCAAATCCTACAAAATCAAAATATGAAATAATGAGGTACATCTCTCACAAAATACATATGATTGATAGTGGATATGTTTTAGGGAAAATATCACTTTTGGCCTTTAAATTATTTTACTTTTGAAAATTTATTCATATAAGTTAATTTAAACAAATTTAGTTCGTTAATTGTCTATAATATGACTAAGTTTAAATCACAAGGAAAATTTAGAGGTTCTATTTCATATTTTTATATTGCATCATCAAAATCTATTTGTGCACTTTTTTTTTTTTTTTTTTTTTTTTTTTTTTTTTTTTAATGAAAATCAAAAGAAATTCATTAAAGCAAATGTTCAATACAAGAAGGAATTGAAAGCAACCAACAAAGAGGACCATATTGTGTCAATTAAAAAAAAATTGCTTTCTTTCGCCGTTAACGACGTTTGTTTTCAAATTCGGCAATTTCCTTCTCAAACTCTATGTTCACAATTATAGAAGTCTATATTCATAATTACTAAACTCTATGTTCATAATTTTTGAACTCCATATTCACAATTATAGAACTCTATGTTCATAATTTTTAAACTCTAGAAGTCTATGTTTATAATTACTGAACTATATATTCATAATTATAGAACTCTATGTTCATAATTTTTGAACTCCATATTCACAATTATTGAACTCTATGTTCATAATTTTTGAACTCCATATTCACAATTATTGAACTCTATGTTCATAATTTTGAACTCTATATTCATAATTTTGAACTCTATATTCATATTCTTGACCTCTATATTCACAATTTTTTATGTCGCTGAATTTTCTATTGGAGGGAAAACGATGCTACTAACGATATCGTTACTCCTGAATTGCAGAAAGGCGTCGTATTAGACCCATGTCCACCTTGCAAGGTGAACACGGGTCCATGGCATAAGTGCATAACAATTGCTGGCAGCTCACCAAAGAGCAAGCCACATAGGAACGCCCCCATCGGGCCACATGCGTTGGCTTGTCCCGGCCCTGCTTTGTCAGCTCTAATTGAAAGAACTAATGCAAGGTAGTTAGGCCTAAAGTAATGCATGCTTGACTATTAGGCATGATAGCACGTACATTTCATGTTCTTTGTTTGTATTTACATTGGGCATTTGCCACGGATAAAGGGAAACGATTAATTTAAATTTGTTTCTTGGAAATTATTTCTTATTTTAGAATTCATGAGTTTTAATGGTAACCCAAAAGGAAAGCCTTCTGTCTGACTCAAGTGTGTATTACCACTACAGCATTTTTGCGTAGATAAAGCAGCTAAACTGTAATTTACTCCTCAACAGTGCACTTAGTAGTCAAAACTACAATAACCAAAATCAAAGATAGGTAGAAATGCATACATGCACTACAGCTTAGGTGAAAATTCAGACCGGGTTCAACAGTTTAGTCGGTTTTACCCGCTTTGCGCCTGAAGAAATAATAGAACAGAGACAACAGCCAATGCCAAATCACAAGTAGTAAACTCTTCTTCTCGGGTTTGGCCTCGGGGCTTTTTCCAAATAAACCTTTGTAGAGTTCCTTTTGTTTTTGATAGACAGCCTTGTCATATTCAGCGAGTAAACGCAATTCCTGTGCAATGGCTTTGTCTTGAGGGGCAAACTTGCGTGCTTTAAGGAAGTCTTCACGAGCTGCGTCTGTTTGCCCAAGCTCTGCTCTAGCCTTTCCTCTTCTGAATAATGCTTTAACATTGTTTTCATCCTCAACCAACACCTAACAGTTAACGGTCCAAATCAATCTATGTTTCTTTTGCCAATCATTATTGTGTGGACCATATTTTGTCTACTATAAAATAATGTACATTCAGTACAAAAATAATGTACATTCAATATAAAAATAATGTATATTGTATACAGGGGATATACATTATTTTTGTTCTGAGTGTACATTATATTTATAATGTACATTCAGTACAAAAATAATGTACATTTAGTATATTAAAAATATACTTTTTGTTATGGTCCACATAACATTGTGTGGACCATGGTCCATACAATAATTTGCCTTCTTTTGCAGTGAGTGGAGCAAATATTTTATACTTACAATGCTACATTGTGCTATGGCTTCATCATAGCGGTTGAGCTTCAACAAGCATGCTGCCATGTTAAGGTGGCAAGGATTCTTTACAGCTAAAGCCATGTCACGGTATTTACCAAACAACTGGAACATGAAGTCGTCTCCCATATATGCTATGGCCTACAACAACCAATGGATAATTGCAAAATTATTAACATCAATTTTGTAGTAATAAAGTATAATTGAAAAAAACGTTCCAGTTCACTCACCATTTCATACTGTTTCATTGCCTCCTCAAGTTTTTCTTCCTTGAATAAAGCATTTCCATTCATCTTTCTCCTATCAGCAGCACCAATTCGCTCTTCTACTGTCATGTCACCTCGCGCTTTGCCCTACACAAGTTTAAATGAACTGAATGACATTGCCAGTACCACAGAAAAGTACCCTTTTATACCATCAGAGTTTGCAAGAACTCACTTCTTTGGTTTCATCAAAACCAATTAATTCAACTTCATATATAACATTGGCCATGGGTGCAACATTTGGAAATGAGAAGCTTCCATCTTTTCCATAGGCTAGTTCCCATCCGACATGTAGCAATGCACGTTCACCAGATCTCATGCCAGAAATGCCAATAGCTAGCCCAGTCATTTCCTTTTTCTCTAGGAAATATTAGGAGACATTTCAGTTTATCTCCACAATAAAAAATGAACTTCAAGAAATTTATGCATCAACAAACAATAGCAGCAGCACTAGACACATGCAAGACACTTCCACAAAGTGATCAGCCATTAGAATTGGAACCAAAAGTGACTAGTCGCTACTGAAGCTGTGAAAACGCATAATGGAATTCATATAAAAACTTATCCATATATAGTGAAGTAGTGAACAATAAAAGATACAGGGATGGTGAGAAGAGGGCAACTTGATCCTCTGAAGCTCTGAATGCAGAAAGATGAAAAACAAATACTTCTGACAAATGATTTTGATTAGTAAACTGAGCACCACCTTTTCCAATTACCAACTCAAGGGGTTGTTGTTCATGCCATGTGTCTTCAAACTTGTGTTGGGTGCTTTCTGCCCATGCCCTATAATGCACTACCAGTACTATCAATGTCAGTCTGATGCATTTGCAATGGCAAGGCAAGAAAAACTCAAACAAAGGTGAGTTGTATTGAATTTGGAAAGCCATGTGCAAATATGAACACAATGGAAAGAGCAATAGTATAAGGAAAAGAAAATTAATAAAAGTGTTACTGATTTTGACTTGCATCTTAAATTTGTAGTAGAATATCATGTAGCCAACCATTCTGGTGATCTAGTAGATTTTTTAACACACTGAAAGAACATCAATTAAAAATGCCAAGATAAATTTCTTCCCAGAAATACAAGAATCCTTAGTTATTACTGTAACAAAATTGAATGGTTAGAGAAATGCATTTAGTTGAATTTAAATCATCTATCCATTTCATCAAAGTCACAATATTTTTTTGGACTTTCAACATAGGGGAACTATATAACTGCAGAGTGTTTATGTCATTAACATTGGAAGTTCAGTCTCAAAGAAGTTAATGCAGCAATTATAAGTGCATTATATCCCAACTGAATGTCTCATCTTGAACTTACAAAAGCATGTTGCATATTTTGATGGCTTCTGACCATGGCCCTCTTTAATAATTTGCTTTGTTACTTTCTCGTGGAGAACTTCCATTGCTGAATCAACTTTTGGTGGACCATCATCTTGAGGGAGCTCTCCATGAACAACTGAAGTTCCTTCAGTGATGATTTCATCAACAGCATTTTGATCTGCAATTTTATGAACATATTATATCATGAACAACCACGTGCAGCAGCATTATGTTCTAGGAATAACTGTCTATCTGATATCCATACATGAATCCTCTTTACTTTTAATTACTCTTATTTTCCTGAATAATCCATCAACCACATTGTGAACCAAGCACACTAAATTTTATATTACATTTAAAAACAGAGGGATGAATCCTAGAAAAGTTACAATGGCTCTTATTAATTGCTAGACTGCAAAAATCTAAGTTGATATTATTGCAAAGTTGACAAATATTACTTATAGTTTCCAAAAAGGACAACAAATCATATTGTCTTTCTACTCGTCTACAATGTTGTTTTGAGAAGAAATGCCGTTTGAGTATTGACCTTCAACTACTGTGTGAAACAATTATTTTCTATGCAAAAACTCTCTCTCTCTCTCACACACACACATATATAGGGGTGGATTCACATGAGAACCACCCTTCCTATCACGGCCTCCCATTAGGGATCATCAGTGTTTTAAACAGATTAATTTTATAATTATTGCAAACTTTCAAGTTTGCAATATTTATAAAATTAACGTTGCCCTTTTTCCCCTTATCTTTCAGAGACCCTCAACTGTTAATCTACCCCTTTTTAGCTGGGAGCCTGTTCTCAATAAAAGCATTGAACACATTACATATCAGAAAACATGAGTTACCAATCTGCGAGGTCTGTTGCTGCTTATGTTCCTCCTCTACAACAGCCATTATTCAAATTTCCTGACCTTTTGCCCTCCCGGTGCGGTTTTCAGCTAACCAGTCAACAACTGATCAAGAAATTCAACACAATAGCAGAGCTTAATCCCAAAACTAACCCGAGGCAATTGAAATCTAGTTGACTGGATTCAATACAAAATTACGAAAACAAAAGGCAATCGAAAGATAGAAACACATACCAAGCTTAATTATACAGGATAGTTACAAATCAAAGTACATTTTCAATAAAGCATTTGACCAGTTTTCATCTTTGTAGCGAACTAGCAATCAAAGAAGATTCTAGAGAGAAATACTCGCCTGGCCCAGGTAGCTCAGATTTAAAAATTCAGAAATGATTTAATTTTAATTAATAAATTATATACGGATTAAAAAAAATAGATGTATTCAGTATTCGTATACAACAATGATAACGTATATTCCAAAAATAACTAAATCGGCAATAGCCATGCCAATGAAATCAAGTACAGTAAATTAGCTTCAATAAAGAAATTAATAACATAATCACATAAATCTATATCAAATAATTGAGTAAAGGAACAAGGTTTATTACCTCTGCCAAATTGCCAGACGTCACGGAGAGAGCGTCGCCAAGCTAAGCAGTGAGAGAAGAGAGAGCTTCGGTCGTCGCCGTTGCCGAGCAGCCAAAATCGCAGTTTCGCTTAACGGTTCAACTCATTTAAGTCCTCTATTTATCGTTTATCCTTTCGCTTCACTACTTTTTTACTGTACTAATTTGGCAGGCCGCATGCCGGCATGCCCGCATATAGATGATCCACAAAGTAGTGGGGACCATATTTTATATAATGTAAAATAATGTATATTATATTTAAGAGATATACATTATTTTTTATTTTAAATATACATTATATTGTATAATGTATATTCAGTACAAAAATAATGTATATTTAATATATTAAAAATGTACTTTTTATTATGATCTACATAACAATGGTTTACACAATAATTTGCCCCGCACAGAGGGAGTACCGCCGGTCTGGTCCATATTAAATTAAATTTAAAATAGAAAATAAATATTCTTATTTCTCATATTTTACATGTTATGTTTACTATTAATGAACCAGACAAATCTGTTTGGTAAATGGCTGATATCTGATTGGATTAAAAGGATTAGTTGATAACATTAATGAATTATAGAAAGGTGTTTAATAAATTGATTGATAAGCTAACTATTTTACCAAATATGACATACTTTTTTTTTTTGTGTGTTTATTTTTTAAATTTAATTTTTGTATTTAATAGTCATTTTATGTAATTCTAAATATATAAATATTATACATTAATATTAAACTTAAAGAGTATAAAAATTAAATTAAAAATAATTTTAGTCTAGTCTCGTTAATCGAATTTAGACACATTAAATAGAATAGATGAAGTAGTTAATAAGCTTTAATTTTGAATCATCTAACTTGTAAAAAAATACAATAAATATAAATTGTAATTAATTTTTAACCAGCCTTAAAAAATTGTAGAGTACTTTCTGTTTATTTATGTGGTTATTAATTGGAATATGAATATATGATTGGTTTGATTTTCATTCTTTTTTGCTTTTATTTTTTTTAAAAAAATGAATAAGAAAATATAGTCTTGAAGCTAGAAATTTTATCGTTGAATTAGGTTAATTTGTTACATCAAAACTTGAATTTTTGTATCATCCGATGAGAATGTTGAAATTGAAATTCATGACATTTGTAATTGATGAAATAATTACGGAGTGGAACAATACGAATCGGGTTGAGAAAATCCGCGACAAAGCAGTCCACACGGTGACTCGGGGTCGGCCTCTTTGGGCTCAGCCACCCCAGGGTCGGCCCCCTTGAGCTCGGCCACCCCGGGGTCGACCTCCTTGGGCTCGGCCACCTAGGGGCAGGCTACTTGGTCGAGCTCCGTACTTGGCCAAGGCTCGTGGTCCTCGCGTTGTCCGAGTCGTCCGGCGTTCGTTGCGGTCCAAGGTGGTTGAAAGGACCTTCGTCGATTTCTCCGATTTGTGGGGGCGACATTGGGTATAAAAGCTCTCCTTTGAGTCTTGTTTAGACATCTTAATTATGTTCTATAATTACGCAATTGTCTTGTTATTGCACAAATCCTACCTTTGTAATAGCACTTCATACATAGTTCGTTAATACAATATCCGTCCCTGTGACGTATATTCGAACATATTTATCCTTCCTATACTCGTCACGTAAATACATACAATCGAATTATATAATCCGGACCTCGAGTTAATATAATCCATCAGTAATATTTACTTCTTGGATACAATTTTTGTACAATGCATTATCCATGACTAATAATATGTAAATAATTAGTAGTTAATAATCTTAAATAATTGTATTAAAAGATTGACAAAAATAATCTTAAATAATTATATATATAGATAATTACGAACGAAAGAAGTAAATAATAATAATAATAATAATAATAATAATAATAATAATAATAATAATAATAATAATAATAATAATAATAATCTTATTATCTTGATTTTAAAAAAAGAAAAACCATCTACATGCAAATAAATAATTAATTACAATATTTTATAAAATACAATTGAATTTGGTCTGCTAGTAATAAATTACAGATCATTTTTTTTAATATAAGATTATGTGAATAAAGAAAGTTGAATTATATATATTAAAATTCAAAATTTTGGTTACAAGTAATATCAATCTTGTATAGGTACAAAATCTTTATGTAATCCTCTGATTCGATCTTTACTTAAATGCCTTGAGCACTTCACTAAAGGGTCCTCTAGAACTCAAGTAGTTTGATCTTCAAAGAATAATTTATATGTTTGTTTTTCATTGAAGGGCCTCCGGTGGTTGATCTTAGCATGATCCATAAATCTTTATGGAGGGGCTGATATCAGAATAAATTTCAAAACTTACAATGTTTCCTGAGTGTTTACCAGATGTTTTTAGGATGTAAATGAGAGCTTCTATTTATAGTAGTAGGATAGGAAGAGTTTACCCGCATGGGCTTAGTTCAATGGTTTAGTGGTAAGAGACTAAGGTTTAAACCTCGGTGGTGATAGTGTGGGAATTATGTCCAAAGGTGGGTAGATTCCTTGTGCGCAGCCTTTTAATAAGTTCAAACTCTTTTGATATTATCTAATTAAACAAATTGTATAATATTAACATTATCCAAAATGAATATTAGACATAATTATGTCTAAATTCTTAGAAATATTCATATTAGTTTTGATATGTTAAATTTACGGTGTCTACAAATTAATTAGAATAAAAGCTATTCTGCAATTTTCACTGGGACGGTCTCTTATAAGACTGTCTAATTATGGATCTCAATTGGTGAGACCGTTCGAATCTAATAGAAGTAGGTCATAATAGAATTGTAGATATAATTAATACTTTAAGCCTTATATATAGTATTTTATATAATAAATGTAGTACTTTATAACAAAATTGTAATAGGCAATTTGTATAAAATAAAATAATAACATAATAGAATTGCAGATATTATCAATACTTTAAATCTTATATATATAATACTTAGCATAAATATAGTACTTTATAACAAAACTCTAATAAAAATTTTGTAGAAAATAATGTAATAACATAACATAATTGCATATATAAAAAATATTTTAAGCCTTATATATATATGGTATAGTTGTAGTACTTTATACCAAAATTGTAATAGACAGTTTGTAAAAAATAAAATAATAACATAACAAAATTGCAGATATAATCAATACTTTAAGTCTTTTATATAATATTTGATAGCATAAATGTAATACTTTATAGTATAAATGTAATACATATTTTGCAGGGAATAAAGTAATAGCATAACATAATTGCATATATCATCAATATTTTAAACATTATATATAATACTTTATAATATGAATGTAGTACTTTATAGAAAAACTCTAATAGACAAATTATAGGAAATAATGTGTTATTACATAGCATAATTACATATATAATCAATACTTTAATTAAGCCTTATATATAATATACTTTTTTGACTCTGTTTGGCAAACCTAACTGAAAAGTTATAAGCTCGGAGCTGAAAGCTGAAAAGGAGCTGAAAGCTGAAAATCTATAAATTTGGAACTGAAAACTGAAGTGCCGTTAAGCTAGCTGTTATGATTGAAAGTGTTTGATAAAATTAGCTTTTTGATAAGCTGATAAAAGTAAAAAGACTAAAAATGACATCTTCATAAAATTTAAATTAGTTTGTTTACATATTAAAATTTAACATTTTGTCTTTAAAAAAATTAACCTTTTGAAATAAAACTATTAGCATAATCATGATCTAGCATCTCATAATGAAGTAGCAATATTGTTGCAATTAATAATAATAATAATAATAATAATAATAATAATAATAATAATAATAATAATAATAATATTATTATTATTATTATTATTATTATTATTATTATTATTATTATTATTATTATTATTTGCGGTGAAAGTTGCGGATAAAGGAGAAGAGAAAATGATTTTAGTTGGGAAAGGTAAATTATGTCATTTCTTTAAAATAATAAGGATAAAAATGAAAAAAAAAAATTAGGAAGCTAGGAGTTTATTTTGAAACGCTACCTAAGCGTTCCAAAATAAGCTCTTATTTTAAGCTAGGAGCTTATTTTGAAAACATTATCAAACAGAGCTTATTGCTTATTAGTAGCTTAAAATAAGCTATAAGCTCCTAAATAAGCTCTGCCAAACAGAACATTTATAGTATTGAACTATTGATGTAATATTTTATAACAAAATTATAATAGACAATTTACATTAAATAGTATTAGAGTTAATTTCAAGGGATATGATGTCTCCTGTCTTTTGTGACAATTTCATGTTTAGTCTTAAAGTATCGATTTTGTCCTTTAACACCCCTGGTTATTATATTTTTTACATTTTTAGTGACTTTTTTTTTTTTTTTATAAAACTTCCTTTTATATTCAAGAGTATTTTTGTCTCATCACTTTAAAAAAAAAAAAATCTGATTTTGCTTCATCTATCTCGCCGACTTTGTCTATAAGCATTTTCTCAACCCTCTTACACACAACTGGTAGTCCCCTCGTACCTACTGTTGTCATCATTATTTATCAAAATCACAACGCATGGAGCAACATGAGGATAGAATATATAAGGGAAATATGTGAATCGTGAACGTGAACGTGAAAGTCGAATTTATTTATTTTTTTTAAAGTAATAATGAGACAAAAATATCATTTCCTACAACGAAGTTTTCTTATAAAAGTTATCAAAAAGACCAAAAATGTTTAAAATATTATAGTCTGGAGTGTTTAATTTAATGGAAAAAACAAT